GGTCAGAGCATAACGGTACTCGACGCTGGACTAATTAATGCCACAATGCAACGATCCCCAATCCCAAATCCCCAGTCAATGCAAGTGAAGTTGTCTTTGTCCGATCGCCCGGCAATCGGATTATTATTCAATAAAATGCGCCGGCGAACAAAGAGATGGCCAGCACTTGATGACAAATGCCTGGGCGGCCTGGGTTGGCAAGAAAGAAAAAGCAAAAAGGGCGCTCTCTTTTGGCCCCAAGTACTTGTTGGCCAGCCCAACCATCGAACTCCAAAAGGCTGCTCCCAGTTTGATCCTGGGTTCTTGGCGGGACCCTTAAAGCAAGCCGCCTCTATTCGATTTGCTCGTTTTGTTATCGCCAGCTTTTAATCTGCCCATTGCCGCGAAGGTCTTGGCCAGATCCCCGCTCCCTTGGCCACGTTTGCCCCAGAGTTTGGGCCGGGTTCCTTTTCCAGCTAACTTGCAGCGGGCAATGTAATGTGAGGGGCAAGTGCAGCGTGCATTGTTAGAGCCGACGACCTTAACCCCAGGTAACCTTGCAGGAATTTGTGTGTAAGATAACTTGAATAGGGCTATTAAAAAAGTGATATTATAAAATACACTTAAAGAGGGTGTTCAAAGTACCCTGGACTTTTAAAGATTACAAATCTTCTTCATTCGTCTGCCTAAATTTAACTAAAATATGGACTGCTTAAGTTCAAAAATCTATCTAATTTTTTCCCATTCAAACACTTATGTATATTTAAATTCTAAAGGCCTCAACTTGTGGGCGAAACTTCTCTGGGTCAACAGCAACACTGAGTGCCATTAATGGGTTAAGAGTTCGGTGTGGCTGAGGGACAGGTTGTGGTGGGGTTGAGGATTCAGGTTCAGGTTCAGGTTCAGGAGCATCAATGCACCGAGGCAGCGGCTCGATTTTATTAGCTTAGCAAAAGGCTTTGATTGTTCTTGTTCTTCCCCAATGTTGCTGTTATGGCCTGTTGCGCTTGTCTAGACGGGCAATTTTTCACACACATACACACAGTTGGCCGAGCCAAGAGCACAAGACACAGACATTGGGGAGCTGGCTGTGTTGTGTGGCTGGACTTGCTCTAAAATTGGCATTTTTCGCACACATAAGGCAAAAATGTAAAGCGAAGTCAAGTCAAGAGACCGGGCCAAAGCCACCACATCGTCCGAAGCCGAAGCGGTTTATTTGCCTTGTGTGGCATCAGCTTCATCATCATCATCCTCATCTTCATCGTCGTGGTCATCCTAGAGTCAGAGTCAGAGTCAGAGCCCGCGACGGCGACTCCAGCTTTAACTCTGAGCCCGAGCCCGCTGGCATAATGTGGCGCAGCTTGGACATGGTCATATCCATGGAGTCCAGTCCGAGTCTCGGACTTTGGCAATTTCTTTATTATTACGAGCGTTTCGTTGGTTGTCCTTTTAGGCCGGCTGTCACAGATCCGCTGATCATTATTGTTCCACCATGTATATATTGTGGGCTCTCGGACTACCTCCGCCTGCTCACAATGCAATGTCAATGTTTTGTCTTAATGCGACAATGCTCGATCGCTGGACGGCCTGTCTCGCATGTTATTTAAATGGAGGAGCCGCGTTGGGGAGTGAGGATTTACAGCCTCCCGGGTAAACAATTTATTATATTTATATGGCCAGTTTATACGTTCGTTCTGGCCATAAATTAAACGATCTTGGACTTAATGTGGCGGCTGCACAAGGTCGCGTGTTGCTGTTGTTGTTGCCGCCTGTCCAGTCGGCAATTAAGCGAGTTAATCACAAGTTCGATGATTTGTCAGTCTGCCCACGGAGGGCGGAGGATGACTGCCCGCTTGGCTAATCGCCGGGGAAGGTCACTCCCTGAGCTCCATCAGTGTGTGCACTCGAGTGTGAAGTTTGCTACTCCAGCGATGACATCATCCGGTTGCAAATTCTCAGAATTTAAAGACTAAGAAAATCACACAAATATCTGTAATCATTATTGGCTTAATGTGCAATTTGCATAACCCAATAGCATTTCAAGTTTAATATTTTTTAATTTATTCAAAACTTAAAAAAACCATAAATCTAAACAAAAATTCACTCATTATTAAAAAACTATTAAATTGCTAATTATTTCTTTAGTATAATAAAAAATTTGACATAATACCTAAAAGTGTATACCTAACTACTCCATAGGTAGATACTTATTTATCATTTTTTAATAAAACGAATAAAATCCCTAAGTCACCCTTTTTCTTAATATTTAATAGTTCAATTATGAGAAGAAAAATTCGTATTTCTTATATTCATTAAATTTACTTATAAATTGACATTTTAAATAAATTTAATTTGTAATGTTGATATAACCAATTTCAACGCAAATTTAACTAAACATTTGAGTAAAGTTAATATATAATTTAAAAAGGAACACAAAAATAATCTTCCCCAAAATTATCTTATTCAAAGAGATTAAGAAGTTTATGAACAAAGTAATGATGGCAGACTCAAACGCTGTTGTTAATTAATGCACATCTTAATTCGATCTAACCAAAAACAAAGGAATCCACTATCTGCAACTATTTATTGAATACCTTAGATTTCTTTCGGACGAAGGCAAACTTTTACTTTCCCTAATGCAGACAAACAAAAGTTTCGCTTTAGTTAAGCCAGCCACGCCCCCTCGGTAGCCTCCCACCGCCCCGTCCCGAAAACCCCCATTTCGAGCTCGATTGCTGTGCGAGTTGGCAAGTTATAATTTAGCTTTCAGCTTTGGCTGCCGAAGAACGCTGAAGAGCTAAACTCGGACTCTCGGTCTCGCTTGGTTTAGCCGTAAATTATAGCCTCGTCTGCAGCTTTTCTATATATTTGTTTGTTTGTACCCGAAGAGAGAGAGATGTATTCGTATCGGCTGGCTTTGTGTATTTTTAGGCTGCATCTTAATTCCAGGGACCAGTTCGCCTACACGAGTCGCCGAATGTCGCCTGTTTGGGCTGTATTTCGCTTTTATTTCTTCATTTTTCTCGCGTAATGTTTTTTTGCACTTGGCCACCAGTTAATTCTCCTTTCTGATTGCCTTTTAATAAGCCCAAGCCAGACGATTCCTGACCAGTTGAATGTGGGCTTTATGAGTTTATATATTTTTATGCTGCCCCTTTTTTTATTATAAGTATTTTTCTCGTCGATATTATCTTGTTGGCTGGGCAGTGTTTTGTTTTTTATTTCGTTTTTGGCGTGTCATGTTCCTTTCCCAGCAGTTGTGTTTGTGTAGGTGTCTTGTTTGGTCTTTTGTTTTTTCGCCGCGCTCGTTGGTTAGTTTGTTTAGTTGTTTGTTGTCTTGCCTGTGTAAGGCAACTTGCAGGGGCAAGTTAATGACTAATGTGCTAGGGCTTTCGGGAAATATGGCATATACTATATGCCGTATGGTATGCATATAAGGGCAGGAAGAGAACGAGTGAGTGAGTGAATCATGACAGGCCGAGCTTCCAAACTTCATTAGTCCGCGAGTTCGTTGCCTCAGTCTTTCGTTTTTGTCAAAAAAAAAGCTCTATAGCCCGCCCCCGACAAACTCAAGATTGTTATATTCGGCCATCACTCCAAATGGCCACAAATTGTGTGTGTATGTACTCCACGACCAAAAACGAGGTCACTTTAGCGGGTTTTAGCAGAGTGAAAAAAATATAAATGCTTTTTGTATTTCATTGCGCGAATGACATCATGCAGCTTCATGGGATCTTCTCAAGCTTTTCGCCTTGCACTCCCAGCTTACCTTATATTTTATGGCTTAAATATTAGCTAGGGCTTACCTTTGGCGTGGGCTAATCCGCAGAAGAGGGCCGCCAGCCACAGAGACCTCCACATTTGCATTGAAAGAGGCATTTCCCCAAAATTTCGGATCTAATTGGTCGGAGGAAAACGGAAAGACAAACGGCATATTATTATAAGCATTTCGACCGAACTGAACGGCACATGCTCCACAAGCGGGCCAGCATTTTATTCGTTATTTGTATTCTTGGCCTTTTTGTCGTTTTCACAGACACAATATATATACATAATATAAATACTGCTCGTTCACCGCAAACACACACAGCGAGTTATTATGAAACAAAGCCAGAAGAGAATGCCCGTCAAGTGGCCTGCGGCGACCGCTCAACAAATCAAAAACCAAATGACAACGGCAAATAAAAAACGAAACGAACGAGCCGCGCGCCACACACATATCACACAAAACTCGGAGCGGGTCTTACTTGACGGCTGCAGTAGAGGAAAACTCGAAACGACACCGGAGAGCACACGTCCAAGCTGTTCGCTAGTCGCCAAGCAACTGAGGCTCAGCTCGGCCGAAACTTCATTGGCAGCCATGGCGAATCGGGAGAGCCGGCAGCCAGTGGTGCTGCCTCCACTTCGGAGGCAAAAGTGGCTGAGTCGGACTAATAAGGCAGAGCAGGCCAAATAAAGATTAAAGGGAATACCAGAGCCAATCCAATTTAAATACCTTTTCAGAGAAAAGCATTAAAGCATTTGAAAGTGATATTAAAATTATGATCAGACAACTTAATTGTAACACCCTCGTAATCGAAATTACAAAAATGTTCTGAACTGAACTAAATATTAATGCGTTGCTTAGTTACTCCTTTCCATAATTTAGTTATTATATTTTAAATGCGATTTATGTAAAATAGTTAGTAATGAATACAAAATAATTTGTTAGCAATTTGCTTAGATTGAAACAACACATTAAAAAATACGTCATAAGTATACAAATTGCAGGAAGGCAGGATGGAATTGATTGACGCTTTCGTCGTTCTTTAAAATTATGTTTTTATCGATATATATAATGGTAACAAAAAGTTTGAACCATTCACTTTGTAAGACTAAAGACCAATAAAAATGTGGATATATCAAAATAACTAGCCGAATAGCCAACACTCGTAGATCATTAGAGCGTGGAGAGGCGAAGGCGCTTAGCTAGCCGCTGGGTGTTCACAGTGCATAAATAAAGCCGACAATTACGAAAGTGCTACATTACAATTTATGGGTATATTTGAATACATTTAGATAAACAGCACCAATATACACAGACTGCCCACTGTGACTCTCTCACCCGGCATCTCTATCGCAGCTTTTGCAGGCGAAAAAGCTCGAAAATGAGACACACTAACTTGCGGTAAAAGGATCACTCTCTGTTCCTCTCTTTCTCTCTTCTACGATAACAATCAGCCGGTATGTTTGTCTCATGACTGAGATGAAAAATTGTGGGAGCGCAAAATCTTACAAGCAATTATGCAATCTCGTCTCCGGCGTTGTTTTTTTTATAGTTTTTGTTGCTGCTCCTCTATTGTTGTCAAAACAAATATTTATGTAATTGCGCTCGCCGTCAGCACGAACTGCAGGTTCTCATCGCTGGGGAGTAACATTTTACTTTAAAATTGTCTAAATGCAACAGATGTTATGGATAATCGGAATACATACGGTACTTGCTGGCACTTCCGCCAAAAACCGTTTCTCCGGTGGTCATCTGGTGCACTTTCCAGAACCCAGAAAACCGAATACTTAAGTACAGCCCGTGAGCCCAATTTCACACCTCTTGGTTTCGCGCGTGCTTGAACATTATTCATTATGCTCCTACTTGTTAGTTTTCCAAACCAATGGCCATCCCATCATTAAACGGCAACGAAAAATAGATGTACTGCCCATAGAGGCTTCTTAAAAACGGTAAATGACGTGCAAAATAAATGCATCCAACCGCACTAATTAAATTTGCTTATTTTACCTTAAGATGTACCCTTTTATACTTAGTTGCATCATTTAGTGGTTAAAACGAAACTATTGCCTGGGGCAATAATAATTTAACACGAATTTCAATTATTAAACAATTACCACTAGCACAAAAATTAAAATAAGGTCGCAGTTTCCTTCTCCTCTTCGCACACAAATCACAGATCTGGCAACGCCATTGACAAGGCAAAAGCGGAATGGCGAAAAACTGCCGTCATCTCGCTCGCACATAACGGAACGTATATTCCCAAGAAAATAACCAAATTAAATTATGTAATTTGATGCTTGCACAGATATTTATGTCGAAACACTGGCATTTAGAGGCCGGGAAGTGTGCAATATAGGTAAAAACGACATATATATATTGACGCACCACCCCGCCTACAAATGTTTGTGTGTACTGCCAGGAACTTTACAAATATCGAAGAATATCCATGTTAATTTCAGGCCGGTAAATGTGCAATATGTCTAAAATTAAGCATATTGTCACAAATACCGTCCGAAAAACAACCTAGGACTTAGTTTGAACACTTTTCGCCGTTTAATGCCAGGATTTTATAAGCCGGGGCCAGTGCAATACGAAAAAAAACCAACAACTTGTATTGTCACCGCCAGCGACATATAAATTAATGCAAAAATAACTTTTTCAATAAACTTGCTTAAATGTTTTAAATCCAAAGTATTGCGGCCGTCTCAAGTGCAATGCTAGCCAAGAAAAACGAAGAATTGCTTTTGAGACGAGCCGAAACACCAGAAATTTGTTCGCAGATTATATTTAAATATTTGCACTGCAGCAGACAGTCGCCAACATTTCCAGGCTGGGGAATGTGCAATACCTTTGGATAAAATACATAGTATTTGCCCAATCCACAGCCAAGAATTGTTAACCACAATATATTTTCTCTTAAACGACCACTCACGACAACTTTTGGGATCGAAGTGCCGGACATCGATCCCAAGAACTAAAAAGCCGGCGACAACGAGACACAAAAAAAAACAATTTTACAAATAGGACCAAAAAGAAATGCAGAAGTTCCAAGCGAGATGGCAATAAGAAACAGAGAGCTGTTGAGTTTCAGAGGAAAAAAAAAGCTCCAAAGCTGGAAGTATAATAAAATGGAGATTAGACGACTAAAACCAAAAAAATAGAAACAATGAATTACAATGCTTGATTTGAATATTCACATGTTCTTCTAGGCTTTTGCATAATTTATACCACTCATTATATTTTTGCACTACTTATAATAACTTTCAATTTAAATTTCTTCAGATTTTATATTTTTGAACGGTTCTTGAAGTTTATTACCCTTTGACAAACCAAATTATTTTTTATCTGGATAAAAGGGACGCTGTAAATAAAATATACTAACAAATAAATAATATATCTTATTACTTCAATTTTGAGGTTATGTCCCTTTCACAAGCTTGTACAATGACTAAGCAAATTGCACTTTTAGGTTATGACACAAAATATACCCAGTTGGTTGTGTTGGGGAAGTTTGATATGTCCCTGACGTACATTTTCTATAAATATTTTAAGCTGATTTCGCAGATTTTGTAAAATTGACAAATCTAAGCGGAATCAACTTAAATATTTAGGAAATTTTGTAGTTTTTATTTCGAAAACAAATGCAGAAACAAATTCTTTCAAACTCCGGCTTTAATACGACACTAAATTAAGTATTTAAGCGAAGAGTCTGAAAAAATCAGAGTCTGCCATGCTCACTTGCGTATCCCCCGTAGATATATTTCTTTAAATATGTAGAACCAGTAATGTGTACTTTAACCCAATCGGTAAAAAAAAAATAAACACATTAACTGGATCTACGCACTTATGAAATTAATTTTTACTTAATTCTTAGAGTTCACAATTTAAAGCTCCTCCATGGTCGACGTCCGAAACCGAAAAGGAATTTGTGGCTTATTTCAGCGAACATGAAATCTTTGTGACAGTGTTGCAAATCGACTATTGTCACAAATACTTATTTAATCATGCATACAAGTATGTGCCTTGCTTCAAAAGCGCTCAATTTAAGAAACTCACTCCAATTTTGAGAAATCGCTAAGATATGATTGGTTTTACATACATATGTTTTTATATAAGCATGTATTTAGGAGACAACTATTGAATTTTTGATAATTGTTTTTTTATTTCCATTTATTTGACATAAAAAAAATATCTCCACTCAAAGAAACCACTCAAAACATAACCTTAATTTGAGGAAATCGATAAAATGTGGCTTTTATTTTACAAAAGCAGGGCCACCGAATTGTAAATTTAAGCTAAAACTTTTAATTTAATGAAACGTCAACAAATTTTCTGGGAATCAGTAAAAATTTATTTTCTGTTTCACTCATTTAAACCAATACCAGTGCGGGCCTTCATGTATGAGTGTGGTGCATCGGTCCAAAAAAACACTCATATCCTTATACATATGCACATATGTAGGTACAAAAGCGCTCAATTTAAGAAACTGACTCCAATTTTGAGAAATCGCTAACATATACATATGTTTGTATATAAGCATGTATTTAGGAAACAACTATTGAATTTTTGAATAATTATTTATTTATTTCCATTTATTTGACATAAAAAAAATAACTCCATTTAAAGAAACCACTCAAAACATAACCTTAATTTGAGGAAATCGATAAATTGTGGCTTTTATTTTACAAAAGCAGGGCCACCGAATTGTAAATTTAAGCTACAACTTTTGATTCAATGAAACGACCAAGTACATCAACTAATTTTCTGGGAATCAGTAAAAATGTATTTTCTGTTTCACTCATTGAAACCAATACCAGTGCGGGCCTGCATGTATGAGTGTGGTGCATCGGTCCAAAAAAAACACTCATATCCCTATACATACATATGTATAATGTTTAAGAAAGCACTGAAATAAAGTGTAAATGTATTATTTTACTCATTGCAACAATTTAGCAATTAACACCAAAAAAAATGTTTTGCTTTCATCATTTCTAGAACCACTGGTAAAGCCCCAATTTCATTCAAATGGAATACAAACCATAACGTTACATTTTATTTATTTATTTTCAGTAGTCAAAAAAATATTATTTATTAACTGGTCAAGTTTATTTAATTGTGGCTCAATATTCTGGTACTGCGATAATTGCTGTTCTATTTTGGCTTTCAGTTTCACTCGTTTGTTCTGCACATCTTGAAGGCGTTCTCTATTTTCAATGCTTTTGGCCATAGCAATCTGAAATACAAATGTTTATATTAGTTAGTTTTACTAATTAGTTTTTAAAAATAAAATATCATTTAAATTATTATTTTTATAGTGCATGTAATAAATGAGCAACTTTGTGTTAAGTACGATTACCATTAAAAATAATAAATTGTGCAATATACATTATGATCTATTTTATATACATGTTTTGTCTATAACTTTGGTTTTATTAATTATTACGCTGATTTGTTAGTAGTTTTAGCATTCTTAAGCGATGGTGCTCGCTTGTAAGGTCTTTTTTATACAAAAAGTTTTTTTATTGCTAAACTAATTATTTTTAGGATGTGAAAACATTGATTTTTGTTACATATAAAATATTTTAGTACCACCCTGAACATGATAAGATTACTAGATTAAACAACGAAGTAGTCGCACCTCAAGCTGTTTTTCCTGAGATTTCAATTGTCCTTCCATAAAACCTATGCTAAAGTCTAGATGTCGCATGCGCAGGGGACGAGTAAGTTTTTCGGGGGACACGGTGTTAAAATTCCTGTGGAATACAACATGTTACAAATTTTGTTTTGGTTTTTAAGCCATTAACTGACCAATCCTTGCCCTCGTAGGGAGCAAAATGCTCCTTAAGCATCTCTAAAGTTGTAAGCTTGTTGTCCACATCGTTGCTGGCAAAGAAACATCGGTTCATTTCGAGCACCACCTTCGTCATAAGATTGCGAGTGCGATTAAAAAGATTTTCGGTGTCTAAGTCATAATCCTCGTGTTCCTTAAAAATGGCTTCGAAGACATCCAATTCCGAACGACTAAATTTAAAGAATAATTTATTGTTGATCACGTTTAAATATAACTCTTGCTTACTTTAAGTTTGCAAACATTTGTCCAATGGCTTCCTCGTAGGCCTGCTTCACCTGGGATCCAATCCCCTTGTGACGCTGAAAGACGGTTTCTGAGTCCTCCTCTGTCATATTTTTCCAAACAATTTCAAATTGAAAACAAAACAATAACACTTGCTGCCCAAGATTAAATGTGACCACATGCAAGTTGGTCCAGAAAACCAAATCGATAGCAACTTTTATTCATGTTGGCAACCCTGCCATTGAATGCAAGGTTCGATTTTCTGCGATTGTGTATTTACACCAGCCGCATTAATCTACGGATACGTTATACGTACCTTGGATATTTTATTAATCATATAAATGTATATAATGGGGATACAAATTTTTAATAACAGACTATTACTTTTTATTGTGTTACTAAGCACTAAGCACAAAAGACCAATTTTAAAACTGATAACGACAGGCTTTTTATTTTCGAATTTGTTTTCAATCAGTACTGGCTTTTGTAATATTAAAATATAATAACTCGTGTTGCGCCCTTCATTGGAAAGAAACTGCGTATTGTGACAAAATCCAACTGCATTTATTGGATTTTAAATTTACACTTCCATAGTTTTGTAAAATAAATATTTTTTGGTAGTAATTATTTTTCTCAAAAACTTCAGAGGATGTCAAAAAAAATAATAATGTTTGGTATTTTTATTTGCGGTATTTTTATTAAGCATCAGTAGAGGCTAGTGCGAATCGAGCATTTGCACCCATTATATCGATTGACCCTATCGATGACAGTCCTAAACGAAACGCCATTTTGCTATTCCTCTCTAACTTTTTGTGCATTTTAACTCTCGTGTGTTTGTGCTATACATATTTTAAATAATATTTTACCAGCCAGCGTTTAGTGGCGAACAAAACGGTGTTAAATAACAATTGGACGATACGGTGTATTGAGATCAGGTTGAGTTTTGGTGGCAGCAGCGTATTAGCAGCCGAAAAAAACAAAGGCATCCCGATAGGTGAGTTTTTCTTCTTTTTTTGCCTGGGGACGCGAAGAAAAGCAAATTTGCGAGGCAAATAAACCAGGCTGAAATCCATGAATGTGTGTGTCAGCGGTGTTGTGTTTTCCCAAGTACATTTTCTGCCAAAAGTATTCGCCAATACATACAATACAGCATGCATGCCTTCCGATTTTTCTCGCATTTTAGTATGATATGATACAACCCCCCACTACACCCCCCAAAATCGTTCTTTTGGCTTCGGCGCTTCACTTTTACAGTTTTCTTTTACAACCACCAGGGCACACAGAAATATTCCTAGCTCTCTCTCACTCTTTCCCATAGTCTCTCTCTCTCTCTCGCTCGCTCGCACGCTTGCCGGCTTTTACTTCAAGTACAGAGTTTTTGTTGTTGGCTCATCCGCTTTGGTCGCTTGTTTTGTTTTTCTGCTTTTCTCTTTTTTCCCTTTTTTTTTATCTCCACGCGGTTACCGGCATATAATTTCATTATAATTTACAGAGATAAAATCAAAACAAAATAGTTTCGTTACTCCAAAAACAAAACACCCACGCTACAACGAGTTCAACGCTCGCCAACTTTTTACAAATAAGGAAAAGGCCTAACCTATATTTTATTCATAGTTAGGCTCCTATTGTTGTTGTTTTTCAAGCATCAATCGATGAGATAAAAGAAGAAGAAATATCGCTGAGAGCTAATAAGCGAAGCAAATAATACAAAAACACGTTCAATAGGAGTTATTTTTTGTTGTTGGATGGGTGCAGCTCATTACCACTTACTTACCTCCCTCTTCTCTCCTCCCGTGCTATTCTCTTGTTTAACCTTTTCTTCCCAACCTTCCACTCTTTCCAACGCCTAGTTTTTTCCGCCCCTTTAATTTTAACCCACTGGCATTTGGAGCTTTAGTCACACAGCTCTCTTTCTCCCAGCAATTCTGCAAGTTCCAACTCTCAAACTTTTGCTTTTCGTTCTTTGACTGCCGATTCTCCTTCGTCTTTGTTCAGATTTCCAGTTTTGTGCAAAAATTCGCTTTTATTCGCCTTGTTTGGCTGAGTTATTTTCGTGTTTCTATCATTCATTTCGAGTGAAGCAATACCAAAGATATTTTGCGGCTATTTGCGCGCGCGTTCATTGACATTGAACTGAATTCTCCTGCAAATTCTTTAGAGTAAAAAGTTAGTAGCAAATTATGTTCAAATAGCGAGTAAATTTAAACAGAAATGTCGGCCGATTTTCCGCTTATCTTAAAAAGCTGTCTTAATGGTTTTCAAATCTCTTGACAAAATTTCTATTACACCAATATATTTCTTTGCATGGAATGCTTTGTTTCCTATTTTTGTAGTCGGTAATCGTATTGGAAAAAGGGTACTGTACTCTTAAAAATGTATTTAACAGCGAAAAGAAATTAAATAAACTCTATGTAAATAAGTTATTTCGCTTCAAATATTCTTTATAAGGTCAAAAATCAAAACAAAATATTTATGCCAATCTAAATAAATATTTTGTTATTCTGAGCAATTCACCTTGCCCTTTAAACACTGAAATTTCTAAATAAACACTATGAGATTGGACTTTTAAAGTCGTGTAGCTTATTAAGATAAAGTTTTTTTTTATACACCCCATTACGTCACCACAATCAGATAAATTATATTGCACTCAGACGTTTTGTGGTAAAGAAATCAGGTTGAAACATTTATAAAAAATATTACATTAAGTTATTATAATTAAATTTAATAATTACCCACCCAGAATGTTTTTTACAAACTATTAACCCCTACCAAAAACCAAAATTAAAAAATATTCTAACATATTTCCAAAAAGCTCAGTCCAACGACTTTCGGTACGTTCATCATTACTATTTATTATATGATCTTAACATTTAAGTCTTTGAAATGTTTCCCATTCTCAAGTAAAGGCATATTAAATAAGCAAATTACCCTAAGGTGCATCATTATATATTCGAATTTCTATACATACCATTTATATTGAAATTATTATTATTATTAATTTATTTACGATGATATAGTCTTTGCAGTTTATTATTCTTAAAATAAAAACTTTTGTGCGATTGAAAATTTTGTGTTGCACATAATTGCGGATATTGTTAGATATCTGTTTTGTAATCAATAACTTCAAGTTTATTTTTAAGTTGCTCAAATAACAAATCTAGTAAAATAATTAAATTTTAAGCACATTTAATAAGGACATTTATTATGTTTGTTTGCCGCCTTATATTCTCCGTTTAAATTGACGCATTTCACATAACCAGTGCCATGTCGTTGTTGCTATTCGTTGCTTGGTGTTCTATACCGCTTATATAAAATGAAAAATGTATGTTGCTCTCCATATTTTCAATGCAATCATCCTAACATCGACAAATGAAATAAATAAAAAATAGTATTGTAAAGCTGCAATTGTACCGTAATTTGTTGTCGAATGTAGGTCGCTTTGATGTTGTTGATTTCCCACATGAATCTATTTTCTGATACAAACGCAGGCCACAATATCTGTAAACTTGGCCCGCATATAGGTGAATGTAATATTTGTTCTCTGTTTATATGGGTTAACTATGCTGGTTGGGTCTTCCAAAGATATTTTTGCTTTTAACCTCACAAGTGTCATTTGATGGTAATCTCTTCTCCCATCTCAATCGCATTCGCAAAACATGTTCCACTCAGTGATTTTCGATAGCTTTTGTCTCGAATGACAGACAAAAAACGCTGAAAAGAAGAAGCGGCAATATTTTTATGCAAATCGCAAAAAAAAATACACTTGAAACACGTTTCGAATTCAAGCAAGTTTTATTGATTTTCAAACCTTGACTGGTATTTCTATTGCTGTGAGACAATTCTTATATTTCCAATTAATTAGCTAACGATGGATTGTCGAGAGATGCAATTGACAAACGCAGAACTAGATAAAGCCAAAGCAAAAAAGGGAAGGGTGAAGAATGGAGTTGGGAATGAAGGTAGGAAGGGAAGAAAGAAAAGTACTTTTCAATCGAAGCCTTTTAATAATGCAACAACCTCAGGGGTTGACCGATTGTCGAGGGGTAAAGTACACTGAAAGCAATTCTGTTCTTATGATGCTTTCCAATTAAAAAGTAAATGTTGAAATTATTTAAAAAATTACTTGTATTTTGGTTCCTTGGCTTAACCTGTTTAAAATATACCAATCTTGATCAAAAATTAGATTCTTCAGAAAATAAGCTGATACAGTCTTAATGTGAAACATAACAAGTTGTTGATAAAAACATAGAATTATTTTAAACCTTACTTTTTTTTTCTTAAGTTATGGTAATTTTTAGTGTTTATTGTTGCATTATAAAATATCATATATTGCGATGTTATTAAATATTCTTTCCGTGTATAAGCCACAGACAAGTCGAACTATAGCAATCAGACTGTAGAAGTTGGCTGGGAACATAACTGGACGACAGAAGAGAACGGGATAGAATAGAATAGAATAGAATACTATAGGATAGAGCAGCGGAGCAGCAACCACTACATGGCACACGCCATAAGGACATTAGTTATTAGCGCTGGGACCAGCTGAACTCCCCATTATTCCCCCACCGCCCGATGTAGAGACGCACGCGATGGGAGAAGTTGGTCGGTTCACCCGCTCGCTAAGCACGCTGACATGTCCATAAAAGCCTTGAAGTGGACAGGCCACAAAGCACAAACAGGACATACGAATACACACGCAGTGCGAGGGTGATGGGAATTGTCAATTGTATGCATTTCCGCTTGCGGCCCCCAACTTTTGTGGCCATATCCTCAACCTGATTCCTTCCTCTGCTTGCTCGGCTTTTTTTTTATATTTTTTGTTAGACATGACGTCCATTAGCTGTTTTTCCGCTAAATTATAGAGTTGAAACGCATTCACCCACCACCCAATTACGGTGGCAAAAAGAATGCCCAGGATGTGGGAGGAGACAGGACAGTTAAAGGCGTGACCACACACACGTGATAGATACAAACGTGACACGACCGTTAAGACGAATTTGTTTAAGTTAAATGTTACATAAATATTAAACCCGATTTTATAGGCGGTGTTTTAAAATATTAAAAAATGAATCCTTTTTTTCCGATTTATAATTAGATTTTAAATGATATAGCGTTGGCTAGGGTTAGGTGAATTTAAAAACACATAAGATGAATATTGAAAATTATGAAATATATGATAT